AGGTGTCTAGTATTGCCAAAAGTAGTTTATTGAGTACACAAACGTTTTCGGGCATCGCCCTTCATCAGGTATCATATACACATATATTATATATACACATATATTATATATACACATATATATATATACACATATATGTATACACACATATATATATATATTGTGCTTTATGGAGATGGACTGGCCCTTTGATATGTTTTGTAGTCTCTGATCGACAACACGTTTTGTTGTGTTCTGTATTTTACTGCCAAGAAATATTTAAATAGTCAAACAAAATTCATAATATTGATCGACTGTTATTTTCATCATATCGATTAACACTTTGTGATATAAATATTAGATACAATTGGAGCTTTTGATGTCTACATATATCAGTTATTAATTAAGTGTTATTCAATTTGTTTATAGGCCACATCATGGATAGACACAATGGTAGAAAATGGCTGTGTGTAAATGGCTGTGTATATACATATATACACACATATATATATATCTATATATACAGTGTTCTCCCAATTAAAAAATTTTTACTGGTAAATCAGTTGTAAGTAAGCTTGCCGAGCGCGCAGTGCGAGGCGCCAGCCCTTCGGGGGGCCTGAGGGCCCCGAAAGCTTTAGGGTACTATAATGCTCTCTGGTGCATTCTCAGCTGCATTTAGACAGTATTTTACAACACTGAAGTATGATCTTTAACAATTTTTTAAAGTAAATTTTTCGTTGTGAATTTACTTTTAACACTTGTCAAAAAGACTAATGAAGGGAATGAAAAAGGACCAGACTGAGACTGTTCTATCAATGGAAGTGAATCAACGCCTGTCTCTTATACACATCTAGATGTGTATAAGAGACAGCACTCAAGCTGAATATCAGATTGTAACTGCTATGAGGGATTTTGAGAACTGGTCATTCGAGGTTAATACCCGCTCATATTTTAATATGACATAAGATAACATGAAGTATATTGCTTATAAAAATTCCAATCTCTGCAATTATTATGTCATTCAAAAGCCTTAACCAACTGGGCCATTCAGGCTTTTGTTGAAAGTTTTAATTCAATTGGAGGCAATTGATTTTGCACTCTACGGTATTCCAATAAAACATTATACGAGTCTTATACATGATAAACAGAGATGTTAATTATCTATAGTATTTCTATTCAAATTGTTGACAGATATACTGTATAATCTGAATGTATTGGTTTTTCTCTTCCATTAGGAAATACGCTGGTCGCATTATGTATCTGAGGACATTACATCATCATCAGAACAACTCAATACGTTATCCTATTACCAGAATCCGTTTTTTAAACCAAGCACTTCACGGTCAACAACAACAGAAAGGACAGCATTTACTTCTTCATTATGGGGTATGGATATTAACCATGGCAATACAGATGATATTTTGTCAGCCTTTAAAGATTTTCCAAGTAAACAAGAAGCAACAGTAAGAGTTGAACCATTATTCGGCAGCAAACAACTTAATAAAGTTACTACCTCTGAAAGCATTGTAACTCAGTGTAATGCTCTACTATTAGGCCAATCAACTCAACCACCAACTAATGTTTGTGCATTACAACCAGCACAAAGTAGTTACGTGTTCGGAAGCCAACTAGCAAAAACTACTTCTCCATTGGCCAGTGTTCCAGCAATGATTGCTCCTGCACTTGGAAGTCAATCAGTGGAAAGTACTTTTTTGTTTGGAAACCAAGCAACACAGAGTACATTTTCATTCGAAAGAAAATCGACAGTCAGATTATCTGGTTGTAGATCAAAATTTAATATTTCACAAAGGAAAATAGGCAAATCGAAAGCTACATCCCTGGCATCACCCACTTCTTTATTTCCAGCAACAAATACTCAAAGTGTTTCTTTATTTGGAAGTAAATCAGCAACAAATTCTGCTGCATTTAGAAGTCAATCACCACAAAGTACTTCTCTTGGCCAACCAGCACAACCTCTGTTTGGAAGTAAACTGGCAACAAGTGCTCCTCAATTAAGAAGTGAATCAACACAAAGTGCTTCTATGTTTGGCAGTAAATCAGCAACCAGTGCTCCTGCATTTGGAAGTCATTCACCACAAAGTACCTTAATCCAACTAGCAAAGAGTCCTCCTCCATTTGGAAGAGAATCAATGCAAAGTGCTTCTTTGTTTGGCAGTAAATTAGCAACGAGTGCTCCTGCATCTGGAATTCAATCACCACAGAGTACGTCCCTAAGCCAACCAGCACAACCTCTATTTGAAAATAAACTGGCAAAGAGTCCTCCTCCATTTGGAAGTGAATCAACGCAAAATGCTTCTTTGTTTGGAAGTACATCAGCAACAAGTGCTCCTGCATCTGAAAGTCAATCACCACAAAGTACCATAATCCAAGCAACAGAATTTCTATTTGGAAGTAAACTGACAATGAGTCCTCCTGCATTTGGAAACGAATCAACGCAAAGTAGTTCTTCTTTGTTTGGAAGTAAATTAGCAACGAGTGCTCCTGCATTTGGAAGTCAGTCACCACAAATCAAACCAGCAGAATCTTTATTTGGAAGTAAAATGGCAAGGAGTCCTGCATTTGGAAGTAAATCAACACAAAGTATTCCTTTATTTGGAAGTCAAACAGCAAAAAGTACCTTTTTATTTGGAAGCCCACAGAGTAACTTTTCAGTTGGAAGTGAACCACTAACAAATGCTTTTGAACTTAGAAGTCAACGAGCACAGGAAAGTGAAGAAGAAGAAGATGAAGATTAGGAGAGTGAAGATAAAGATGAGGAAAGTGAACATGCTGGTTGTGAACCAAGCGCTTCACTGTCAATTAATTTGTTATCTTTACTGAAGACTTCACTCATCGTGGAACTTGAAAATAGGGGTTCAACAGTCCGTATCTGTTCATACAACACCAATATCTGGCAGTTATGTTTCACTACTGTATCTAAAGCTACATCTCTTCACCTTTCACTCCTCTATGAATTTGTTCCGTTAAAAACACCAAAAGATAAATTTTATATAGCAATTTTAATGTATAAATATTTTTATGGCACTGAACCATTAAGACTATATAAAACAATTGAAATGGTATTTGGCAGGCACAGATTTTAGTGCTAAAAATTCACAAAAACATCAAAAACTTCATTAGTTCATAGTATACTAGTATCATTTTATAAATAATACTAGAGTGTATAATTGTATTGGTAGATAGTTTGTCAGATTGAAGTACTGTATAAGTTTTAATTGATATATTTTTTAATTTAGTTATTTTATACTTTTAAACACAGTTGTCCAAATTTAAATTATTACAAAACTTGCTTGGAAAATATGCTGTAAGATCTGTTTCTATTTTAATTATTATTTTTCTTGGATTGAATATTATATTATGTTTTTCGTTTAAAGTTTAAAGGGGCTGGGAGGGGGGGTCACAAGGCCTCTCCTATCCCTAATGCCCCATCATTCTAAAAGAAATCACATTCTGTATTCAACAATTAACCAATGTCAAATGATAATAAGATTGTGTTGATGATCTTAAAAAAATAATATACTACTGTGAAGGGGGCCCTACTGAGTAGAGTAGGCCTATATTGCTCGTGCTCGAGGGGCTATAAAAACATTTTGATAAATAAAGAATGATGCTCTTTTGATTCAGATTAGACTAGCATATATCCTTTTTCAGACCAAAGTAATTTGTGGTATCGTAACATTTTATCAAAACAATCAATTTGGTTACTTGAACGTCTTTTATTGGACTTGTCATATGTCCTTTTTCAGACCAAAGTAATTTGTGGTATCGTAACATTTTATCAAAACAATCAATCAATTTGGTTACTTAAACATCTTTATATTTTCAAGCCTATTTATGCGGATGCGGATGGCGCAAAGAAAACGTGATCTAAAGTCATAGGCCTATAAAATTTTGTCCATCTCCGTGGGTTTTTTTTATAGGGTTAGTAGTCTATTCTTTAATGTTGGAATTGTACCTTATACAGCAAAGTACAACATTTATTGGTTTATAATGCTTAAATTGCTTATTTGGCTAAGCTCATATGGGGCACAGACCAATACAATTATATTTAAGCATGTAACCTATGGACGCTAATGACAATGCATGCACACAAATATTCTAATTAAAGATGTGTGTGCAAAGTAAATTTAAGTGAAATTATGGAGCATTTACATGAGTGTCCATTTTACACAAAAAAAATGAACGCCTCCCTCGAATAAATGCCCTGCAAAACCCATTCTCAACAATAAACGCCTCGGGGCGTTTATTTGAATAACTATTGTGAATAAATACATAACACTACTCAGAGCATGTATTAAACAATGTCGGGTTTAAGTTCCGGTGGAAGATGACTTTGTCAATCTTGATTTCTTCAGTTGCATTTCATTGTATTAGATAATATTTTTTGTACAGGATTATGCGGTTTGTCTTTTTTCATTATATTCGTATGACAGTATAGAGAAAATGAAAAGTATGGATTATTTTATATTATGATATTTTAATATAAATATGGGGCACGAAGAGAGTGCACTTGACTAGTGTTCTTGTCCGATTTTGTATCTAATTGTAGGGTTTGGGGTTCTTCTGGTCTTTTGGTCAAATAAACAAATGAAATAAAGTGACAGCTATGAAAATATGTACATGATATTTTATGTATTAACACATAATATAACAAAATATTTGAGGATTTTATGTTATTGTTGTAATAAGCAGCAAAAGACACCTTTTGTGGGGGATTTAACAACATCCGCTGCATATGCCGTCTGAGTAAATTGTCGATAATTTTTCATTTTCTGTATAAATAAATATATATTAATTCCAGCATAATAAAGGCTTTGAGATAGCGTTGATGCTGTTTTTTAACAAGACAAGAAACAATAAGACATAGACAGTATGAACACAGTGAATTGCTGTCAAAATCAGGCCTAGGACTTACAGATGCAATAACCACACTTGTCTGAATTGAATATCGCGGGGGCGGGTGGGGGGCGAGGTCCCCGACGAGGGGTCAGATTTCCCCGAAGAAAGCAAAGTGGGCGTGGTAAAATTAAGAACAAAATAAGAACAAATTGAGGCTGAGTTAAAACTGTTATGAGGTTTTCATTTTTTTTAATTAAAAAAAAAAGCAATTAAATCTTATCTATACCTTAATTGCAGTAGGTGTGACTTTGTCATACCCTCTATAATACAGGACAGAAAGATACTACTGTAATATAAAATGGGCCAAAAATAAGAACGCTGCGCCCGGTCAAAATTGTACTGGTTTTTATTTTTAAAAAAGGGGAAAAAAGTGTAAGCCTTAGAAACGGTTGTAATATGGACCACTTTCTAAACATTTTGAGCGACGCCTCACCACGCCTACTTGCTTTCGTCAGGGACATCGGCCCCTCATCGGGGACCGCTGCTCGCCTCCCCCTCCACCCCGACGGGCAAATCCTAGTGCCACCCTAGAGCTTAATGGCCTTGTTAGCGTTATAAAAGTCTAACATATTAACTATGGTAAACAACAGTTCACTTAATGTCCAAGGATATTAAATTTCATAACCTCCAGATACCGCAGAACTAACCACACGCTAATTATATTATATTATATATATATATATATATATATATATGTATATACATATAATCATCAAAGAAAGGTAAATACAGTGTTAAAATAAAGGACATAAAAATATACATCGTGTAGCAGCTCTCAATGAATTAGTTCTTAAATAAATGAATATATACCGTATATATAAATATACATATACACACACATACATATTATATACACACACACATATATATATATATATATATATATATATATATATGATAATAATGGAAATATAATTTTAAAGTTTCAAAGACGATAAGTATAATATTGATTCTTGGGAAATAAATATCAATTAAACACTGACAATAGGCTTATCCCGTATAAACTGGCAAAAAAATGTCAACAGCAATAATTAAGCCTGGTTCACATTCACGTTTCAAACGCAAAAACAACAGGATTTACGCCACAAACGCAACTTCGCCTGTTTTTCACTGCCCTTTGCGTGTGAAAATGTCACATTTTGTAGAGTAGGCTTCCTCGGGCCTAGGGGAGGATCCAGTAGGGGGAACATGTCCACCGTTTGCCACTAAATTGTTGAAATTTCAATGCATAGGCCCTACCAATGTTTTTTTTTTCTGAAACGGTTCTCCGCCTTACCCCCTCCCCCCCCCCACCGTTTGAAAAATTCTGGATCTAACAATTTAGCGCTTTATATGGATTTGCTCCATTGTGAACTGAGGCCGAGATGATAATAATCCTATCTCACCTGTTCTTTCCATTTCTATCGAAATACTTATGACTACCAATCTCCCGGACTTCTTTGTATATTCATTCATTTTTTACGAACTTTCTCTTTACTCTTCGTTAAAAAAAACATTCCAAATTGACCAAAGTGTCAACAATTTCTATGAAATCATACCTTTCTAAATTGCACCAGTGCAAAAAAACAAATTAAGAACTCTCCCCAAAAATTTAATAGCAATAGAGGCCACTAAAAACTTAAGGATAAGGCGCCATTAATTAGAGCAAGAACTTAAAATTATGTTTATTTTATGTTGCAAAATAAAATACGTCAGTAGGCCTAACCATTCGAAGTGTGATGAAATTAAACGCGTACAAAATGCAAACGTTGCTTGGCTAACGGGGTATCTGGTCAACATGCGCAGCATCAAACGGGCACAATTTGGCGGAGATGTGTTTGATGCCTGCCATGTGAAGCTTTATACTGTGGACGTCACAAACTGATATCCGCAAAAAAATATGTTGCATATTATGCATCAGCGAAGCAACGAAATAAGCCTTCATATCGTCATAGTGTTAATATCACGAATTTAATCAGAATCCGAATTATTCCCATTAACACGTTTGTTATTTGACTTTTTCTTCTTTTTTCCAACACATTCGGGACTTCTTGTCGAATTAAGTCGCTTAGAAACATGTTTTCTCCGACTAACAGTTCCAAAATGTGGACCCGAAACTAAATGTCCTGACACCAAATCAGGCAATTTAGGTATAACTGAAGATGTTTTTAATAGGTCATTTTGTTGAACGTCGTCTACAACGTATTCAGCAGCAACTCGTTCGTTTCGATGAATTTTCGGCAACAGAACGATTTCGCTTTGAGCGTTTTCTGGTGTTCTTATTTCGTTATGTTTTGTAAATTTGCGTAATGATTCCAATGATGGTAACTTTAATGTATCCGTTGTTCTTCTATCTTCCTTCTTACGTGTTTGATGCGGTCGATTTTTACCGTGTTTATTTTGCGATGTATACGGCCTACTGTCGATGTTTATCGGCGGTAAAACGCTCTTGTGTCTTTGATGATGTGTCTGGCTTTCATGAGAATCTTCATATGTATCCTCAACATAATTTCCATTTAACAAAGATTGAGAGCATGTTAGTGGAGAGTCTGTGTCAGTAGGCGTTCGACTATTATCACTGTTTGTTTTCAATACTGGCGAATATATTGGTGTAAGTCTATGGTCATTAGCAGCACGTATTTCTGAATGCGAACCGTGTGAACGCGGCATTATTTCGAGTGTTGGTGTTTAGATTGAAACAATTTTGTCGTCTGCTCGTCGCAGAAAGTCGGCATACGATCTTTTGCTGAAATATGGGCATCTGTCATTCCAGCCTGAAATGAATCACAAAATCAGAATAATTGCATATCAACTATATTTAATTAATTATCCATTCTTTTCCTACAAACATGAAAATCTCTTTAATGATACGGTATCTTATAGGCCTAGCACCCACAGACCGAACTCATTAGCTTAATTCAGGGTATCAACAGGCCTGAATCAGGCGGTCTCATGGTGAAACGATTTGACGTCAAATCCTACACAGAAATAATATAGTTCTTTTATTTCATAATGTATATCAGACGATTGTTTACTAAGCCTAAGGAGGCTGTAGCGATCCACAATATTAATGAGTAATTAAAATTTTATAAAATAACTTAGGGGGTTAACGGCCGTGTCGCGTGTTGATACTCCCGAGGCGGATTTAAGAAAAGAAGTTGTTGCAGATGAGTGTTTTTTCAGCTCCCAGTAGAACACCAGGCACCACCCCCGATCTAGCTTCTGTTTATGCCGTTACATTACAAGTCGTAATTAATCTTTCAAACAAAATTTGTACTTACTCGCAATGTCGCAACGCATAACTGAATTTTCCGTAGTTGTAGGCCCTTAGGGTTTGATAAAACGTATCCTTTTACGTTTAAGATGTATTCCGGCGAAATATTATGTAATCTGAGTGCGGCTTCAATCAGTGCACAACAGACAATGCGAAATGGATTGCTGTGGACTGACCCTTCTCAGACGTGGGCGTGACCCTCCAGCCTTTGATTATGTTTCCTGAAAGTCGTGATAGGCATAGTTGTTATCTGGCAATGAATTGTTGACCATTTCTCGCGTCATCTGCAGTAGCTGTCGGTAGTCACTTATATTAAGTTATATCTACAGGGAGGGAATTCTCCGCCTAGGATTAATTACTGTTCCCCGTTATGTCAACTAATTACGCGATAAATGTAACATCAACAGGTGTGCACGATAAGATTGTCACCTGAGCTCTGGTCACCTGGTAGTATGCTACTGAATATAAGCTAGGCCTCTGGAGACGAATCCCGGTAAACTTGATAGGCGGGGTCGAAGATACCCGTCTATAAACTGAGTACTCAAACCTACACATAATGTAAGCAATTATTCTATTTAGGCCTAGGCCTATGCATGGTTTTTCAGTGTAGGCCGGCACGCTCCTAATCTGGTCCCCACTCAAATCCTGTTAAGTGTTCAAGTGATTGCGTGCTCTGTGGTGATAGTGTGTGTTTCGAGAGAAACATGCCTGTCATGTCGCCAAACATTTATAAGTCTTACCTCATACCTCAAAATGTATCAATATTCATAGAATGTGCAACCGCTAATGAACTTTAAACTTGGCATGTCCCTTATCATACCCACAATTAATAATCATCCAGATATAATAATTATATACACACACTTTGATATCTCTGATTATCAGCTATGGTATCCTAGTTTACGCTGGAATGCATAAAAAACAATCGGCATTTTAACATCTCTAATTATACTGCTGTCAGCCTGCTATACCGTATTTTTACACTCATACATATTACATATATATCCTATATATATATATATAATTGTTACATGAAGAGAAAAACTCTAAATCGTTTTGCGTAATGATATTATTTTAAGGGGTAAAGAAGAGGAATCTGCGAGTACGAAAACATTTCCCCAAGGGATTCGAACCCGGGACCTTCTGCTGTCTACAGTATATGGCTATACAAGGGACAAATGTATAAGGAAATAGTGTTTGTGATATTACGGAAATTAATTTAACTAATTAAAACTCAATCCTGTAATAATGCCTATTGTGACAATAAAAGAAAACGAACGTCTTAACTCATCTAAATTATTATCAACACTAGAAACGGTAATTAACTTGGTCTAGCCTTGTAATCAAGAACCTGCAGATACTATTTACTATGCCTAATATTAATAACTAGGCTTAGGCCTCATTTATACATTCATTGGTGCTCTGCCATTTTGGCAGGGCTTATGGCATCTAGTATTTTAGAGCTGCCTATTCTCAGCTCTTCTCCTAATTTGAAAATAACTGCCACCCTGTTTCATTTGATGAAGAAACGCGCTTTTCCTTCCTCTTTGTGCTTTCCTTTCCCCAGAAAGCGTATATTTTTAGTAGCTAGTAGGCCTAGGTAATTATTCAAAACCCAGACCTAACTGAAAAATAAAAATTGTCACAGTATGTAACTCAAGTTCAAATGACACTTTTTACTCGTGCAGCTCAATCAAATATTATATGTCATTTTAAACGACCCATTAGTAATAGTAACATCAATGTACAGTATTTTATTTTTTGAAAATCAGACAGCGACGTTCTCTCATAAGTTGGTTTGTAGACGTTTATCTTGTTGATAACCTTTTGACCTCCTGAATTCTGCTATACATGAGATTTTCGGGTCGATTCAGTCGAGACGGCGAGTGGAGTTTTATGTAAATGTTTCATAGAAAAAAAATCGTGTCCGGGCCGGTTGCCCCCCCCCCCCGTTGAATCCGAATAGGGCTTATGAGAACTCTTAACTCCTGGGGGTTCGCCCGAACCCCTAAAAACCCCCCTGGCTACGGGCCTGATGTTTCATAGAAAAAAAAATCGTGTCCGGGCCGGTTGCCCCCCCCCCCCGTTGAATCCGAATAGGGCCTATGAGAACTCTTAACTCCTTGAACTCAAAACTTTGTCCGGTTTTTTTCACCGGGGCCTATGGGTGTGTTGCGAGTTTGCTACGAGTTTTCCGAGTCTGCCATTGTACCGTGTTAAATATAGCCTATAACCATGGACATAACTATTGTACAAATTTCCCGGTTTAAAAAATAAAAGCTTTACCAGACAGTTTACTACTACTTTTTCTGAGGTTGCTACGAGTTAGAATGAACGTGTTGGTATGAGTTTCCTACAATTTTACTACGAGTTTTCCGAGCCTACGGGCCTAAGAAACGCTATTTATGAAAAACCTTTCTGGCACAGGATACTTGGATACCACTGGTATCCAAGCGGCAGTTTCCAAAACGCTACACTGTCGCAGTGCTTTGTATCGTTCCCAACCCAACGCGCTCGAACAGACCAGGCCCATATCCAAGAGGAGTCTTTATGGTTCGGGAGAACCCCCACTTTTCTAGCAACCCCCCCCCCCCTCTTTTCTGGCGAAACCCCCTCTTTAAATTTCCCACTGCAGACCCACCAGACATTTTTAAACATATCTGCTTTTATAGCCTTATTTAGACCCACAAAGCACAAAATTAATCCTCTTGACTTCACGCCAAGAAATCACCCCCACCCCCCACCTTGGAAGAATCTGGCTAGGGCCTGAAAAGAATCTCCGATTCAACGGACTTATCAGCGTCGCCGCCGAATCTGTTTGGGGATAGCGTGTAACGATTTTATGGAAACCAATCCAGGCTAAAGTTACACTCTTGAAGCTAGTAGTAAACTCGTAGTTAACCGGTAGCGGAACAATTCGTACTTTGCTCATCATCATTTATCATATAAACAATATCTTTATTAATTATCACTATCATTATTATTGATTATTGTTGTATTGCCCTTGGTCTTGTGAATTTTGTCTTATGTCAGCTAAGTACTGTAAAACAAAAACTTAAAAAAAGGGTACATCCATATTCATTTAAAAAAGCGCACCGACCCTCGCAATGGAGCTCCATGCTGCCACCAAAGTCATAATAACATCATAAAAGCCGACAATGGGTTCACTACCCTGGTCACCAAATAATACAGTTGTACTTTATAGGTACTTTAAGGATTATATTGCACCGTGCCTATTAACCGTGGCCAATCAAAAGAAAAGAACACTTTATGGTCCAATAAACAGAGTGTAAAGTTACAAATCCACCTCCCATGGAGTTTTGAAAGCAAGTCGTCACAGAAAGCAAGTCGGTATAGACGCCAAGCACCGAAACAACCAAGAAAAAGCACTATCAAAAGTCAACCATGAAGTGTGGATTTCTGCTTATTTTTCTTGTTGGTAAGATTTAAGTATTTATTTAAGTTGTACGTTGTCTTTCCTTTGGTTTATTTAATTGTGTTGTTCCATCATGATCATAAAATAAGAATGTAGACCTTCCCAAAATGATGTGCCTGATCGGTAAATGTCGGTGACCTATGTGCTGCATTGCTCCCCTGGTGTCACAAGTAGACCTCGCCAAGTATACATTCCGGAATGCCCTTATGGTGAACGTTTTGTTGTACACCTCCTTCCTTGTATTTTTCTCTCCCACTTCGTTATCATATCCTATTCAGCTTAAGTAGTATTATTCTACAGTAATTGATATGATTTCGATATTTCCTGTCCTCTGTTTAATCGCTGTCTGTGGTTTATTGTCCCAATACTTACTTCTCAATGGCTAACTAGGTGCTTAAGTCTTTCTGGAGATAATGTTCAGTATGTGTGGTTTCACCTTTTAGCCTTTAATCATTATTTTGTGTACATACCTCCATATCTGTTGATATGATTTTTTTCATGTTAAATAAATGAACACCAAACAACACTGTTTTTCTACGAAGCCCTCCTTTTCTAGTTTTCACACACCATGGTTGTTAGGCAAAATACAAACAATTTGTTTAAAAATGGGCAGCAGTGGCAGATCTTGAATCCCCGAAAAAAAAAGGAGCCAAGGGGCAGAGGTCAAGGAGATTGATGATTAAGTGAGGTTATTTTTAACAATAAGCCAGAAATTTGCTGACAAGGGGTCTGACATGTCCGACAGAGGGGTCCGAACCAAGGTGACTACGAAGCCTCGGTCGACGGCCCAGAATAAAAACAATCCCTGTTAGTGTTTATGGGTTGAATTTTTATGGCTTAATTTGGTCTTAAAATGCTTTTAGACCACGATATTTGGGATTGGCAATCAAAATAGCATTATTTTGATAGCCAAATTATTATTTTTTCTAATTTTTGGTCTGACGACCTAGTCGTTCGTTGGACGACTGGGGGTCCAGGCCTGTCTGACGGGTGGGCAAATGCCCAAACTACCCCAACCTCCCCCCCCCCCCCCGACCCTTGCTGGCACCACGACTGCTTCTGGCACCACGACTGCTTCAAGTAAAGTAAATTACTGTTGGAAGTCTGCGCTTAAATTTTCATCAATATGTTGCGTTGAAAATTAAAGTATCACAATTAATATTAATTAATATTTGGCAGGTTCATGCCATGGATTATCAAGGAAACACTGGCTTAAAAACTTGAATTTTGACAACACTGAAAACTGGGATAAAAATCGAGTTCCATGTGCAAATGATAGGATTATCATCCCAAACCAAGTAAGTCATTTTCATTTACAAAAATCTAAACAGCAGCTGTTTATAGAAAAGATGCCAAAGACTTTCAGCTTTAGGAGAGCATGTAATTAAAATTACAGTTGTGTACAGATATCAACTTTTGCAGATCTCTCTATCTTTTCATTGGCTGTGTTAAATTGTTACTTACTGTGCTCTGTTAAAAAGCTTGAAAAATGATACTGTATTTATATGCCTGAATTGCTTAGGTATGTTATATTGTATGTTAGTGACCTGTTGGTCTTCTGATAGGATTATAACCAGAAAATGTTTTTCTTGCTAACTACAGTCAGTATCTGATTAACATGGAAATGATCTATTTATTTTGCATTTTGTACTATAAATATCAATGGTTTGTATTAAAACATCTGTAAATTAGCAAAACATTTGGGGTTTTTTTCAACCTGTTTCTTTAATGGAAGTTAAAATTTCCAAAATCCTTTGAAATGAATCTAACCTATAAGACATGCTAATCCTTCTCCTTAGACAAAGCATGGTTGCTGTTGACTCCGTGGAGCTCATCTACCCTTTGTTTTCAAATTGCTACCAAGATGGTACTTGACTTGTCTTTACCCATTAAAAAACATTGATGTGAAGGTATTAATTATCAAGAACAGTGTCTGTAATACTACATTTGAAAACATGCATTCATAATGAAACAATAGACTACTTATAAGGACCTCTTGTAAATTTTCTAAGTAAACTTTTTAACATTACTATTAAGTTAACTATTTATATAGTTGGAAAGTGACCATAATTATTTTCAAAGTTCTGTGTTTGGCCATAACTATTTGGCTGAGTTGTAAGTTCCTATTTTTAACCTTTATTCCGAATCCTGATTTATAACAATATGTCATGCATAAATTGACTGTCGGTAATTAATCGGACACAGGCTTTCTCCATAATCAAAAGAGAGACTCAAACATTGGAATCTGATGCTAATTCAATGATCAATCAGTTAAGATCTTTATGCTTTCATTTCTAATCGATCTGTTTTAATGATTTGAACTCTGTAAACTTTATGATTAACTTTGTGATTACCTTACATTATAATAGTTTATATTGATAGCGCATGAGAGTTTAATGACCTGGAGGTTAGGCACCGAAACAAAATAAACTCTATCTATGTAATAAAAATGATTATCAATCTTGATAATTATCTAGTGTTTGCTGTTCAAATTTGTATATAGCTATCATTATAGATATGAGTTTACAACATTGTATACAGTATAAAAACATATTATAAATTTGAAGAATTATTCACATTTTATAGACTCATAAATGTATTTTGATTTCCAAAAAAAAAATTATACTGATTAATTTTAGATAAGAAAGTATTCCTAATGATGACATAAGTAACGTTGAAATATTGAATCCCAACACGATGGCGTGTATTTCAATACTTGAATCTGAATTATACTGTACTTTCTTGTATTTTGTTTATACCAGGGATTCTCAACTATATTATTACAGGGGCCATGTTTGTAGATTGAATCAAATTGAGGGGCCAATGATCATGCTAATGGGTCTGGAGGGATGTGTGGCCACTATCACTTTTCTGTTTCAATAAGTCAAAAATCAAAAAAGTAATTTTATATAATGACTTTCAGAGGTTTTACTTTATATTTAAAATTGAATAAGAATTGAAAATATATGATTGGAGTCAATTGAAAATGATGGTAATATTTGATTCCTTTTCTGCCTAAATTGATCACTTTCAAATTCATGGGTATTTCAATAAATAAATAAATTGCAAAAATGGTAAACAAGTTATGATTGCTTCCATAACAAAAAGTAATTTTATAATGACTTTTAGAGGTTTTACTATATATTTAAAATTGTATAAGAATTGAAAATATATGATTGGGGTCAATTGAAAATGATTTTAATATTCGATTCCTTTTCTGCCTAAATTGATCACTTTCAAATTCATGGTATTTCAATAAATAAATAAATTGCAAAAATGGTAAACAAGTTATAATTGCTTCCATAACAAAAAATCACCTGTTCTGTAGACACATTTGTTTATACCTTGTATAGTTAAATTTTTTTCTGAAAGATCTTTAGAAGGTGAAAAAAAAATTATATTTTCTCATGTACAGTAAGCATAATGGTTCTATCAAAAGCACCTGGGCAGAGAAGAAAATATGCAAATAAAAGTTTATTGAGAAAAGAGTGAGAGACGTAAAAAGGTAATGGACCTATGCTAAGCCCCTCCCCTTGGATATTGTTGCTAACGTCCCACAAAACAACAGGACGCATATATTCCTGGCTCTGTTCTGATTGGTCAGTTAAGTTTGATTGACACTCTGGAAGGTACATTGAGTGTGCCCTTAGGCCTTGGCTCGATATCTCATTGCGTGGTTGTATTTAGAAAGTGATGTGATGTGATATATATCTTTTATGTTTATTTAATTGTGTTGGAGATACATGATAGTGGCAGGCAGAATAAAAATGAAGAAAAATGTGTTTTGTTTTGAAATTACAATATTTTATGGCAGCGGTTGTTTCAACAGGCCAAAAAGTATATTTATTAAAAAATGTACAGTATAATATCGTATCGGCTTCGTATACAAATCAAAAATTGTTGCATCAGAGGGATAAAAAAAATAGTTGTACACTACATGATGCCAAATGTACAGTATCTATATATTTTTATTTATTTTTTTGCCATTTTTTGGCCAAAAAATATTTTTATTACTAAAAATAAAAAAGAACTTGAAATTCATAATGATGTTAAAAAAGGCTATATTTTAAGCCTAAATTAATAAAATTATGATCTTAACTTTGGATTTTAACCCCTATGTTTTACTAATTTCCCAATCAAAATACATATGGTGATGGTTGCAAAGAACTCCTAGAATTATATACCCTATGCCGAATACACTCTGTTATGATCAGTTGCGATGTAATCGGTGGTAATCCAAAACTGATCACTCCCAATCGCAATCAACGAGCGCGTTCAGACCAATACGAAAAAACTTTACATTCTGTGGCCTACTGTAGGCCTCTGGTGGCTAGGCCTATGTTGACTGACCTCAGCCAAAAACTGTTCCTATTTCACACACGATTTTACTTTGCGGTTGGGTGTGATTGGGTGTCGCAACCAATTTTGAGATATACAAATCGCTATGCGATGCTAGTCTGAATAGGATATTAGATATCCTATAGGCCTTTTGTAAAAACATTTTCGAATGCTGTTGTATTTGGGCAACACAAAAATTTGTACTTGCCTTATCAATGAAAACTAATAATCTGTTTAGGTATGCATCTTATGTTCGTTAATGAATCAGGTGCGGTAGTCTTTGATCTCTTCATTGAACATTTTCTATTATGTGTTACAAGGGCACTTCAACACCTGTGTAAATATGAACTTTTCCTTGCTTAAATGACATCAGATTATAACACCTGTAGTTTGTATGGTATCATTGAATCCTATTAATTAGTCATTAAAAATCCATTAAAAAATTGTTTCCGTATAAATTCAAACTTTTTGTAAAAGGAAGGGAGAGACAGCCAACCTCCCCTTCCTGTGTCTGACACCATATCGAAACTATTGGACCAAAAACATTCTTATTCAAAAACATTTGATTTCCAATCTCTAATATGGTCTAAAAAGACAATTTGGGCAATTCTGGCCATGTAAACATTCACCATGAACCCTACCAAGGATTTTTATTCCGAGACCTGTTTGGTTTGGACCAATTGTCGGATCCCCTTTCGGCAAATTACTGGAGAGACCCACTTTGTTGGCCATCAGCATTTTTAGTTCATTAAAGTTGTTATCTACAAGCCACAGTTAGAGGAATATGAAAATCCCCACTAGGTATTCCAACGAAGAAGGATTCCAAGCAATGTTGAGGGAAAATACAAAAAAAAAATATGGCAGTAGTAAAAAAATAATAACCCCGGTGGCGATAAGAAAAACCCAGTAGCGATAAGAAACAAATTAATTTTTTAAATTGACCATTATGCTTTTTTTTTGTCTATCAGACAAGATTTGATTTCTAATTAGTGTATACATAAAATGAACACCTGTTAGTATTCCTGATAATTTGTCATTGAAAACCTATAATCACTTTATTTTGTTTGTAGTCTTTGATCTCCCTTATCATTATCGTCACACTTTTTTCATTTTGCTAATGATTGATTGAAGTATGATGTCAACTTAAAATGTGGCAAAGACCAGCCAAACAAGTCACTCCTTGCAAAAAATTGATTTTTAGATTTATAATAAACAATAAAATGAGAGCTATAAAATGGTAAAAGAATCGTTTAAATCTGACATTTCGTTATGAAGTTACAGGAGTTTAAACATACTGTACAGCTGTTTAAAGAAAAATATTTAAAAAATCAGCCTTTAAAGTTTACGATATCGGGAATTTCTCGGGCAGAAGCCATATACCAAAATTGTTGTTTTAACTTTTAAAATGGGGAAAATAACAGCATAGCATGATGTGTAGTCAAATCCTTAAGAAATGTTGTTTTAACATTGCACATTGGGAAAATAACAGCATAGAATGATGGGTAGATATATAAAGGGTAGTTTATTGCAATAAAATGGATTTCAGAAATGTTGACATTTCAGCATGTTTTGGCTATTATCTCTGAAACATGTTTTGCGACAAGTGACTGGTTTGGCTTGTCTTTGCCACAAATTAACAAGTGAATTGTTATTTTGATAATAAATCAGCAAATATAAATACTGATAAAGTTATAACAATGATTCTATGTTATTAGAGTATTGTAGATATTTTTAGATTATTGTTCACTGGTGTACATTACCCAAGGGACAGGTTGTCAAATAAGATATATACGGTATATCACTTATATAAACAATGTCAATTGAATATATTCAACAACAACAAAAAATACCATTTTCCATGGCTTCACTATGAAAAATTGTTATTTTAAAAAATCAGTATCTAAGAAGGAATTTTGTTCTCATTATGAGTAGAAAAATTTTACATTTTACAAGTATTATTTATGTTGTATATTTTTTGTGTTATTTATGCTATATATTTTTATGGAAAAATAACACAAATAAAACGAGTAAGAGTAGGTGTTCTGTACAGCACATGTTTTAATTGTTATAAGTTTGTTGCAATTGCATTAATTTGTGGTAAATATATTTAGTAAATTCCATATTGCTAGAAACTTTGTTTCCACTTATTTTTTTAATGAATTTTCAGATTCTTATATAACATTTATTATCATAAAGCAAGACATATGAAATGCAAATAACTTTGTCTTTACCATTTGTAGTCGGAGTCTGTTTACGTGCAAACCAACACCACTCTCCGTGAGATGGTTTTGCCAGTGGATGGGGAGGTTGTTCTTGGTCAAAATATTGTCATCAATTTTGCAAGTGATGCAGCTGTAGATTTGGAATGCAATGGAGAAGGTCAGTTTATGTTTTATGTTTCTTTATTTTTTCACACAGATAACAGCTGGTATGCTAAGCTGTAGACCATTGCTCTAAGCCCTGCCTCTTGGATATTGTTATTAAGCCGTTATAATGTCAAAGTAATTGTGTTTATTGTGCGACATGCGAGATCCACGCCCTGTTTGGTCAGTTGTTGAGTTTCTTGACCCTCTGGAACCACAGTTGTGTCGTCACAACGCCAGGTGGTGCTCTCTGTTGTCAACAGACGTTGGTTACCGTTCATTACGCCTGAATGATGTCATAGGCTTTCTGGAATAGGCATTTTAAAATCTAATATTTTACCATCAAAATGTACTAGAAACACAAAAGCTCGCATTATATTAGTTATCGAACACACATTTAATCATCAATTAAAACTTACAAAGAAAAAGTAAGATACAACATCTTAATAATTACGTTAGAAATTGGGATCAATGGTTTGTCAGTGGTGAAAATGGCATCCGGTTGAACTTATTTTGCAACGATAGCAACGGAGTAGTATTACATGGTATCGTGACGTAGCACTGTAGTACTCTATATGGAAGTGCCCACTCTATAGGCCTAAATATAGTTTCATTATGTTGTTTTTCCATTAGGCCTAAAAAAGAAATTGTTTGTTTGCCCTCCAGCGCCCGGCCCTAGTTCACGGAAAAAGTACTGTAGGGGCAGTGTTTCTTTTTTTATTTTTTGTTCACAAATTTAAAAAAGCTATCTTTAGTTTTCTCCATTTTGCACATGAAAGTTTTCTAAATTTGGTGTCTGACGCAAGGTATCGCCATTCTAGGCCTAAATTAATTGCAAGATATTAATTATGGGTTATTTTTATTCAGTCTGATGAATACCCTTTGAAAAACAAATAGTGAGACCAGGCTTAATTGTAAGCATTGCGACTTAATATGTTAATTTTAGTGACAGGACAAAAAAAAAATATTAAAAAAACTTTTTTGCGCCCGCCCCCTCCTGTACAATTTTCAGCATTAAAGGGAAAACAAACAATTAATTTTTTAGGCCTTATGAGAGAGAGTCGTGTTTTATATGTCTTAGATGTCCTTGGGATTTGAAGCATGTTAATGATTAGTATGAAATCTAATGAAGGTTATATAAATGATTGTAATTATTTTTTAACTGCAATAAGTTAGTTTATTACAATTTATAAGATACATTGGTAATAAACAAATTATTCTAAATAATTAAACAATAAGCTAAGAGTGATCAGATGTACAGTATATGAAAATGTGGTTGTGTTACAACCATTGGAAGTTGATGGAGCAAATCCTGGGCTTGTAGTAAACCTATGCACTGCTTCTTGGTAAACTTTGAAATTATAGTCAAGACATTTACACAAGCTTACAACGTCAGTATTTCAAAACATGTGAAATAACCATTAATATGGTAATTACATTTAAATCTTTAAAGAAATTATATGCTTTACAACAAGTCACCGAGAATATTGGCTAAACTAGGAAATTTTTAAATTTCAAAGTATGAGCCATTAAGTACACAGGACCAATGTCTAAACATTCCTCATGGAGGATGAGGTAAAAAGTAACTGTTTTAAATGTATCCAAGGACTAGTGTAAATTGGTATTTAAAGGATATGGAACTAAAACCAGACTCCTCCGTAGGAAAACATAGCTTGAATATGATGTACAACTGATTTTTTTAAGACACAGAAAATGCTGTTTGACGAAAAACTTGGGAACGGTATACAGATATTTTAAATATAACCATTCTTTCTTCCCCAGTTCTAAAATATTGAAAAATCTGTATCATTAACCGTTCCTGAGTTTTTTCAGACACCAATTTGTGTCTTTAATCAAAAAAGTTGTACGTCATATCAAAAAAATGTTTTTCCTCTGGGCCTGATTTTATGAAATATACTACAATGACTAAAGCAAGAGTACAGTTTTATAAATATTTTAACATTTTCATCTTGAAAATATTAATTTCTATCATATTATTTTTTTTTTCTTTTAATTTAATCCAGACTTAACCTACAGTCGCAACAAAATCAAGAACTGGTTTGACCCAGCTAACTGGAAAGATGAGGATGTGAACGTGAATGTTGAAACAGAGCGTGTTCCTTGTACCATAGACCAGGTGGTATTCCCGTCTAAAAGCTTATTTCACGTTCAACTCGACCAAAGTTTGTCCATTGCAACTATGAAGATTGGCACAGAGGTAAAGTCTAAATTTGATAGTCTGCATGGAACATGTAATAAACATTAATACAGGTTAAAATGTAGACCCTACCTACAAAGTTAAAACAAGGGTGAAATCTCTTTTGTTTGCTATTTCAAGAAAACACTAACTATGTAATAACTTACTTAAAAATGTAATGTCCCCTGAAAAAAATCATTAAAAAAAATTTTTTTAATGTAACTTGCTCATATATTATCTTGAGCATAGAAATTATTGAATTTTAAAAATGTGTATCCTGATTTTTATATATGGATAATGAAAAAATAAATAAAATAAAATAGTTTTTCATTTTTGCTGTAAAATTGTGGGTAAACATATTTTAAATACATTAATTTCTATATTCAAATTGATAATTGTTATGTTACTGCAAAATGAGCAAGTTATTTAATTTTAACAATTATTTTCATGATATTTCTTGGTATTTTTCATAGGAAAATACATTTTTTTATACCAAGCAAGCAATTAAAATATTAAATTTTCTTGATGAGAAAGCTCAACAAAGTAAGTTAACAAATCTGTAAAAACAAAATTATATTTAGCTTTGTTTTGCTATTTAATTTTTTAAAATATATATTTTGACCTTTGACTTGTACAGGCATACACAACAAAAAGTCTGGCAAGTTTCTTTGACAGTCCATCAGGCCTAAAGCAGTTTGAACGCATTAATGCAGCGTCAATAGAATTGACACAGAAGACACAGTGTGATGATATTACTGGATGCGTTTGTGGCAATGACAAGAGTGTGATCAAAGATAAAATTTGTGGCCTTTACGAGTGTCCTAATATCGCATGTCAGTCGCCGCTGCGGGCGGTAGGCGGCTGTTGTAATCTGTGCGGTAAGTTTGTAAAAAATACTATGCAAGCTACTGTATTAATTTGAATAACTAAACATCAATTTACAATACATATTTGAAGTTGACGTTCTATTATTTTTTATTATGTTTCGTTATATTATTTATTATGATGGTTATACAATTGTAATTTTGAATAAATGTGAATAATTACAGGTGGTGGAATTTTAGCAATGAATTACTATGAGAGTAAATTAAACATCTGTATTTATTTGATAAACATCAATTTTGAAATACTTTTGAAGTTGACCTTCTATTATTTTTAATTATGTTTCATTATTTTTTTTTTCATTATGATGGTTATAAAATTATAATTTTGAATAAATTTGAATAAATACTGGTGGAATTTTTACATTGAATTACTATGCAAGTAAATTTAACATCTTCATTTATTTGCATAAATATCAATTTTTAAATAAAAGGTTGAGGTTCTAATAAGTTTTATTATATTTCATTATTTTATTTATTTCTTTCTTTATTATGATGGTTTTAAAGTTATAATTTTGAATAATTACAGGTGGAATGTTGACAATGAATTACTATGAAAGTAAATTTAACATGGAGCTTTTCAAGCAAGATATGTATGACACATATTCATCAGCAGAATACATAGGAACAAGGGTGAATATTTAATTTCAATTTAATACTTTATATATTTATTTCAAATATATTTTGTTGGGGTGGTCCATCCAGACAGAGCTGATTAATTGGGATCTTTGTATGTACAAAAAAAAAGACAAAAGAATAAAAGATGAAAATTTAATTAGAACTTTAACATCAACAAATTAATTAAATTAAAACAAAAAAAATTCAAATGGAAATTTTTATAAAATAATGATTTAAAGAAAAATTTAAATTAATAATTAACAAAATAAAAGTGTAACATGGTGATTCACATACTGACATGGTGTAACATGGTGATTCACGTACAATTGTAAATTTATTTTCGAAGGCGATAATTGCCTTCCATACTACATCGTCTTTCTTTTATCTTTCTCTTTTACGCGGTTCAGTAAAACTAAATTACCAAAGCTAGCTACTAAAGTTATAAAACTATCAAGATTATAAAATATTTAGGAAATTTTCACTTTGAAGTGGCATCACTGGGTAGAGTGATCGTACTGTTTGGTTATTGTGAACGTATTGCTCAGGAGCTGCAAAGCCGGGGTTTTTTTCTCTGATTGGAAAATAAAAGAATTTAAGATCGGCAATGGTGTTGTCATCTTTTTCCTGTTTACATTAGGAAATGTAACATTGACACATAAAGAAACAGTAAACTAATTGAAATAATAAATCAATCGAGTTTTAGAGAACTCTATTTTAAACGAAGGGTGGGAAAACATTATAACACTATCATTTTCTTTTCCCATTTTCCATAGCAAGCTGGTTCTGGCAAAATCAGAGGAGAAATAAAAAATATAATTGACTGTCATAATATGAGTGTCAGATAAAAAGCAATAGAGGGCACTTGAGCGCCTATTGCATAGTTGTAGATTGCAATGCTGCGATGATCAGATTAAAAATTTTACCTGGTATTGAAGAAGAAATAAATCTTATCACAAGGATTCAAGGCAGTGTCCAGTGTAACAAAATTACAGAATAATAATTTTTTTCTGAAATTTCTAGTTACTCACGGTGGTTGGTGCGTCAAATGTATGATTAATTTCTGTTGAATATTCTTGTTGTTCTCATTTTAGGATAGAAAAAAGAGGGACACTGCAACAAATGATGGTGTAGATTTGTATATATCTAAGGTCACAGGTGACAAAATACAGATGGTGTTAACGGATAAAGTTCCAGGCACAGATAATGGAAAAAACGCTTCGGATAAAGCAAGGAAAATCAAAGATGATCTTGCAAAGAGTAAGTTGAAAAAACCCATTATCGAATGCACTTGAGTGGTGGTGAGGATGCTCAACGCTAAGGTAGTGGGTGTTGACGATTCTCTATAGTGGTGCTGCCACCTATAGTTGTTAGTAGTTGAGAGCTGCTATGTGTGATTAGCAATTGGAAATAAAGGTTATAACTGACTGGTGTATTTGATTTGAATATTGGGACTAGTAGCTAAAGCCTGCAAAAGTGGTGGAAGGGTGACCCCTTGGAAAGTTTGCATTGTTGATAATATGCCAGATTGTCACAACGTTTAAAAAAAATTTTGTCTAAAGCGCATAGAAACTTACAGCGCTATATCAGTGTAACTTATTATGTATTATGATTATCAATATCACCCTAGTAAATGGAAAACTACTACAGAGTCTTTAGTTTGTTTACAAAATATAATAAATTTATTCTTTTTCAGATAACAGGTATGGCGTCTACAACATATATTTGCAAGCAACTTCAGCAGCAACAGGCAAACAAAACCAGAAAGGAGGTAACTAAACTATATTTTTGGTTTAATTATGAAAGAATACAATTAATATTACTTGATAGGTCTACATCTTCTAGGCCTATATATGAAAACAAATAATCTGACCAGCATAAAAAGAAGAGCATTGCTTTCAGGGGTACTAAATTTAGTCTCTGTGTGGGGTCAACAAGAGCTAGAGTAGGTTAAGTTTGTACTGCCTACCGTCCCTGTTTATGCATATTTCTCTTACTTTGTAGACATGAGTGCTGGTGCAGTAACAGGTGTTGTGATTGCGGTTATCATCATTCTTGTAATTGTGATTATTCTCAGCTACATGTTCGTCAAACGCAGGTCAGTTTTATGTTGAACTTTATTCTATATTTTTCACCACTGCATTATGATATGGATATATATGTTTATAGGATGCAGGTTACCCGAACACTGTCTTGTTTTTATAAGAAGAGGGAAGTTATAATTTCAGAGCTTAGAGTTTAGGTGTTTTTGACAAAAAGTGTAAAGTTAAGTTTGAGAATTCAGATATAGGAGCTTTCATTTTGTTCTTTAGCCAGGTACACCCTTCACTGGCTGCTGTCAGTTGACATTAGATTCCATGGTAAACCCAAGGTGCATGCAACAGATCACTTTAAAATGTATCAATTTTTTTTTCGCAGGCCCCTAAGTAGGACATGGTTCAAGAAGGATGAACCATTAGATGCATCGCTTGAGATGGCTCCAGGCATCGCTGTCGTGGACTTGAGTTTTGATAACCCTATGTATGATAGTCCTACTAAGGTAACATTAATTGAATATTTAATGAAATCTTCCGGGTTCAATTCTAATAAAACTTCAAAAAGGTTTTATAAGATTTTTGTTTAGAAAGGCTTCACCATGGAATTGCAAAAATTTGCTTATTTTGGAGTAACATGCTCGTCTCATTTTTAGGGTGCCATATCCCCTGTAATGCCCCCTCAACTCTGGGTCCGACCTACCCATCCAATATTCTTTCCTTGGATCCCATGTAATAAAACAGTTCTGTCAATTAAATCAGCAAAATAGCTTATTTAATGCTTTAATAATGTTGGATGTGTAGGCCCTATTTCATATTTTTTGAAATCTTTGAAAGTAACTTTGAATTTGACCAATAATGTGATTTATTTCCATAGGAGAATTTCTACATGGATCCTTCCCGTCCTTTTCCAAATCTAGATGACGACACTTCATTCTCCGCCGGATCTCCAATCGATGATGATCGCAGCCACAGCATACTATCTTTCTCCAACCCATTACCAGACGACTTGCCGGACCGTACCTTGAAGAAGACCGCCCCGGCTGAAGAAGGTGGCGTCAAGGCCTTCACCAACCCTCTCCCGGAGGACTTGGGAGATTTGGGTACCCCTACCGTGATGGACCCCATTCAATCCCCTGACACCAAAAAAGGAATGGAAGATGAGACCGATGCGTAGGTTGTGAAAGTGACAAGACAGAAACCTACATGTAATCATCCAGTCTATAGGGAGATTTTGCATCCTTACGAAAACACTAACGAATACGTCATTGTCATTATTGTCAATCATGCCGAAAACAGTCTTGACAATATGCTGTATCAGCTGAATATAATTCTTCATTCATGCAAAACGCATAAATCACCTACGTTGTGGCACATATACTACTGTAGGGTTGTCTAAAAAATTGGTGACGTAACTGTATTTGTTATCATTTACGTAAGCTTGCGAAAACTCTCTTAACGTTTTATTTTAACCAATACATAGGGCACTTTATATATCAATTTTATATGCATTTAGTATACTCAATATAAAATAAATGTGTCCTTAGAGTAGCATGCATGGAAAATGTTAGTACTCCGAACCACGTGTGGAATATGCTTTTGAATTTTAGAATGATTTTAATATAAAGCAATACACAACATGAGATATGTGTCCATAGGTAGCATGATCAGAATATTTTAATACCAATTTACATTCCTTGAATACTGAATAATTTTAATGTGGGTAATTTTAAAAATATCTTAGATTTCATAATATATTCAAAATTTCCCAAAATATATAAAAACATAAAATTGTGTTTTAACATCAATAGCTGTGTCTGTATTACACAGTATTTTAGCAGTATTGTAAATAAATACAATTTTGATTGTAAAATTGTGCGAGTTGTAATTTTATTGAATTGTTAATGGAAAAATGAAATGTTGAAGTATTAGATAAATATATTTTTAATATGTTGGTCACTGGATAACATGTTTTGCGAAGAAGACATCAAGCGTAAAATCAGCATAGCAAAAGGTCCATTCATTAACATTATTACAGTAAACACAGATTTGCATCATAAAATGTTGCACATGGAACCGCCTACCACTTATTCGAGACCAGTGCTTATTAAAAAATAATTTTTAGTTATTGATACAGGATTAAACAGTAAAATGAGAGCTATAAAATGGTAAAAGAATCATTTAAATGGGACATTTCCTTGTAAGTTACAAACATTTAAACATAGAGCTGTTTAAAGAACAATATTTAAGAAATCCGCCTCAAAGTTTATGATTTTGGCCATTTTCTCAGGCTATCACCAAATTGTTAAAAATTGTTGTTTTAACATTGTAAATGGGGAAAATAACCGCATAGCATGATGTACAGATATACAGATATACAGGTTAGTTTAGTGCAGTAAAATAGATTTTTTTTTTCTTTGAAAGAGTTCACCTACACTTTCCTCTCCCCTAAAATGTATGTTTTGTTCTGTTGTCTTGTGTAAACTATGGATAATCCCTACAGCAGTAGTAGTTAACTGGAGGTCGTGGGTTTGACTGCAACCCGAATCACTTGCAAGTACAGTATTTGGGAATAAACTGAGTATTCAGTATAATACCTCAAGTAGGGCAAAACATCACTATTATGATATTTTCCAGATGTAAACACACTGAAATGAACTTGTCTGATTATGGAATCCCTAGGGAAAAAAAAGGAGTCATCAGTCTTGAATCCTGTAAAAGGAAATGTTTACATGACAGTTATAATACTGTCATAAAATAACAATCCATTTTACATTCAGGCTAAGCAAAATCAGTGCTAGATATCACACTTCTAAAATTTTGAGACAGGTTACTGAAATTGATTTTACCAAGTTGAGAATTCTGGTACACTCTATTGCATGCACTCTTATCCAACTTGTAACTGTGTTTCAGATTTAAGGACACTGATAAAAACACACAGTACATTTCCCTTAAACAATAATATTCACATTTATTATACACTATTTTTATAAAGAAATCATTTAAAATTTTTTTTTATAAAGATTTATATTAAAGTTTACTTTAAAATAATTTTTGAAATACATAGTGTAGACTGTCGCATAATTAGGCTTTAGTTCTGTATCCAAACAGACCAACATTAAGGCTGTGTTGCCCAAGCCAAATCCTGCTTGAAAAAATCTAGTGTGATGAGGCACATACACTTTTTAATGACGATCCATCTGACAATTCAAAGATGGTATGACATGTCTTCAAGTGCTTGCCGATAGAATTTGTCAGCCGACGGTTCTACAATGCAGTGTGCACTTGATTTTCAACATTATAAGAGGGCAATGTGCTTCCGTTTAAAGACACCCACAACATGATCATAGCGGGAAGCCCTATTGTTGCAGCCACATCCTCACAATATGCTAACCGTTAGGTTTAATCAGTCTTCTTATGCCATGCCATGTCAAAACTTGGTTTCATTTAATCCTCGATTTTGCTGTCTTCCACTTCTCGTGTTTTTGGGTAATAAACTTTGAAGCAGTATCCACCATTGGAGAAAGATCCCTGAAATGTCAAAAAATGTATTTAAAGAATTGACAAAATAATATTAAAATATAGAACAAAATAATATTAAAATTAAAATAGCTTGGAGAAATGCATCAATACCTGTGACAACAGGCTTTTTCGCAAGACTAATAAGCCCACCTTTTGGATATTGTTAAGTTGATAAAACCCTACAAAATGACAAGTCTGAGGACGCCATTTCGAGCCATCTAGAGGTGCCATAATCACAATTTTTCTTACTTCAGCCCCAACCATGGTGGGGTTGAGGTGGGTGGACCCTCTATCTGTGAACGTCCGTACTTTAGTCTCCCTCTATTTCAAATTCCTGGATTTGCCACTGAATACTTACAGCATTAATGCATAAACAGTTTGTGTTAGTTATTGTGAAAGGATCGCATTTGTCACCAAACATGACAAGATCTGGAAGTGGATAAAGTCTGAGGGCTGAATCATAACTCCAGTAGATTGGTGACACGTGGAGTGGAAGTGGGCTAAGATGACTCTGCGATATCACCGTCTTGACAAACTGCAAAAAAAAAAATATGGATTACTTACAATAGCAAGTATCTAACAGTAGGGGTGGCACCAGCAGAGGGGGGAGACCTGGCACCACCACCCACCCCCCACCTTGTCAGGGAGAAAAAAAAATGCATATGTATTGTTCATATATTGGTAGACCCCAAAATCAATTAAATAAGCCTTTGAAACCCCTAAATTTTCATTTTTTTCGAGGGCTTCACCACTGGAACATTTTCAAGAGATTTTGAGCGACGCCTGACCACGCCCAGTTTGTTTCGTCTGGACATCACCCGCGCACCCCCACCCATCCATCGGACAAATCCTGGTGCCACCATTGTTTAACAGATTGAAAGATATAATACTGTAATTTTCCCATTAAACAAGTTCTCTCATATAAGTCCTGCTCTTGTAAACATTTTCTCTAAACTCTACTTAAATAAACACTGTGCCATTTAGACATAAATTCTATTGTTAAACATCACACTCTCGAAATATTGTATAAATGCCGCACTAAAGCCTCTAAAAAATTATACAATCACTGCGGCACTTATTGGAACGTTTACAGTAATAACAATAACAAAAGCCACAATAATATATTAAACAAAAAATTATTGTAATGTCCGTACTGATTCTCTGCTGCTGCACAAACAGAGAAACACCCTTCCCCACCTCTCAATGCTATCGTGTCAAGATATTTATTACATCAGATAATTCATTTCTAATTCAAACAATTGACAGTTGAATTAAAAGTTGAACACAAAAGCTCCAAGCCACCATTAACAATTGAGGGTGCTCTTTAGTAAGTGAGACCTCTCTGATATACTCACATGACTCGGTATATCTGATCCAGCCTCTGGAAAACGAACACAGTTCCGGCACATTTTGGTAAGAATATCCTCACGAAAAATTACCATCTCCTGGGTACAGTACTGAATCCTGAGAGAAATCAGGAAAAGTTTTTTTTTTTTAATTGTAAATCAAATGTAAATTTGAAAAATAAAAAGTTTTTAAAGAGAGGATTAAAGACAAAATATAGGGAGAATAACTGATAACTTGCAGGATCACTGTGTTGAATGGGTATGGTCCATGGCTGTTTTAGCAGCTGTAGAAAGGCACTTTGCTCACATCATTCCACAATGAAAGGGGCTGAAGTGAACCATAGCATCGGGGTAACCCTTACTCTTACGAAAGTGCACATGAGCCAGATGTGTACACGGGACCTCCTGTTTTAAGTCCTTATCTGAGAAGAGTTCTACCAACCCGAAACCTGGGCAAAGAGCAGCTTTAACCAGCGCTGATGTTAAGGCTGTATTTAGTGGTGCCGCTGCCTTACTGCTCAGCCACTCGACTTGCCAAGCTTCCAATTCATTCATTTTCACACACATTAACAGTGCAACTGTTCATAGTATAACAAGCATATATTCAAATAATGATAAAAAAAAAGGAAATCAAATGAATATGAATCTGTGTTTTCTTTTTATTTTAATTAATAAAATACAGCATTTTACCTGCAAGGATTTGAAGTAAATATTGCACCAGGTACATTACGACGAAACTCCTCAGTTATGCAATCAGGTATTGCTTTTCTAAATTGGAGCAAATATAGAATAAGAAATATAAAATAAACTATATAATACTAATACTAATATTAATGGCTGTGTATTTTGATAGTGCATAGTGTATAGACATCTTTTAAAATACTAAATAGTTTACAAACCTAGGTAAGATGTTTCCAGGACCAGGATCCCGAGGTCCAGGCACAAACACAAACTTGCTGCCCTCTATCAGACTTGGAAATTCTTGTAGCATGGACATCAGCATCTGTAGGGAATCTTAGAAAAGGAAAAAATATATTAATGATAAATTAATTGTTTAAAGCTACTAAAGGTAATTTTCTTCTTTTCTTCAACAGTTAAAGAATGAAAGTGTGTGGTCTTCTATGAACATAGGACAGGACATTATGAGACAATCCCTTTACTATTTTGAAATAGAGTTCTTCATTGCGCATGTGCTATGATGTACACAAGATCAATAGCTAACGTCCCATCAAAAAGACATGGTAATTGGAGCAAAGTGATTTACCCAAAGGGAAACTAGAAGTACAGCATTGGTAGGTCTTGAACTCAGTCTCTTACCAAAGACCTACTGCTTTCCAATGCACTAAAATGTGTATAAAAAAGACTAATGATTTTTATTTTAGAGACACAAGCTTCTGCTAGCTCAAGCTAGCTTCATCCTTCATACATAGTGTAGCTTCAAAGGCCCGACTCCATTTGTTGTCACATCGGGTTTGTGCGAGTTAAATGCTGATGTGATAGGTCTGCGTCAGGGACTGTCGCGCTAACAGTCACGACGATCTCACGACTGTCCCCAATGATAAATCTTGTTGGCCTGCATCGTAGGACGCTGTCTGAATTAGCCATAAAGTGAACAAGTTTTATTGACTAACCTGTTAAAATCTTGACATGGTTGCTACCATATGGCGTTGATGTGAAATTTCCACAGAAGACAAAACATGTTGGTGGCATGTCAGAAAGACCAGAAAACAAGGTTTGAAGCTTTTGTCTCACTTTCAGCTGATCCAACCAAACCTCGGAGATAAATACAAACATGGCATTGTCGTTATCCTGCTCAATGGTCTTTAAACGCTTGGAAACTTTGACAGAGGTTGCAGATGGGCCACCAAAAAAATTTGTATTGCCAAAAAAACTCCTGCAAAGAATTAAAAAAAATTGTTCGTTCATAACATACGTTTGAGTCTTAGGTCTAAGGTAACCACAAATTTAACCCAACCTTCATTTTAATCTACAAGTAGTCTTTGTTGTGTCTTACATAATAACATATACAATTACTATTACAAGTATTACATACAACATAAAATTTAATTATTTCATTGAACAATACTTTCCTAATATTAGGTCATGTGAGAAAGTTGCCAGGTTAGTTTGCCATGAAATGTAATATTTTACCTTGTGATATCGCTTGGCTCAGCAGGAGGAAAACCAAAAGCGTTGATATGAAATACTTCATCTTCGTACCAACCCTCCGCAAGAACGAAACAATTTTCTGTAAATAACCCATTGTGAAATTGGTGCAGGGTGGTTAAAGAAACAACAGAATTACAGAAATTGCTTTAAACTTTTACAAATCTTATTTTTTTATTATCTGTTAATTGGTATTTATATAGCACCTTTCCTTTAGGATAAGAAGCCCTTGGGTCCTCATGCTTAAGTGTTGCTGCATATTGGCACAGTAGCAGGCAACCCTACCAGGTACCCATCATTTATATTCCTGGGTGGAGAGGAGCAAAGTAGATAAAGTGCCTTATTCAAGAACACAAGAGAAGTGCAAAGCGAGGGACAAAAAACTCAATCTCAAGGTTGAGAAACCAAACTGTTCAGCTGAACATTCATTGAAGGTCAAATGATGATGTCACTATTGACTTAAAATTGATGCTACTGTATGCTAATAACCAAGGATATTGCTTTACTGAGGTCCAGCTCAACTGCTCCTGTGGGATCTTCAAGGTGATATTTTCCCTGTTGAAAAAAAAAATGTTTTAACCTAGATTGATATGTACCTAATAATGTACTTAAAATCAGGATCCGGAGGGGGAAAAAATGTTGATATGTTGTAGAACTGACAGAAAAAAGTTGTTTGATGAAAAACTGGGGAATGGTGAATAAAATACAGATTTTTGAATATATAAAAACTGGGAGAACTTTGTTATACCTTTTTCCTCTGTTTAAAAAAAAAATCTGTATCTCTCCAGTTTTTATCAAACAACTTTTTTCTGTCTTAGAAAAATCAGTTCTACAAAGTATCCAAAACTGTTTTCCCTCCGGAGTCTGAATTTATTGAGTGTTGGACAAGAGCTTACTACAACATACATAAATTGTTGCTTGATGTTTGGATTTAATATAACATGACATTGGGTATTACACAAATAATTGGCAAATAATCCATTTTTTATTTGCATCATTCTTTTGTGTAATTTAGTTCATGTACATTTGTTTCATTTGTCCCACTGCATGCTTCGACCTACTAGTTGTAAAGACGATAATAAGACAGCACTCAAATCCTGTCTAGGAAACTATGCCACAGCACCAAAAAAGGTAGGTACAACATTATACTTCATAAATAAAAATTTACATTTTAAAAAATTTTTATCATTACATTTTGCTGTACATTTTTATTGCTGCTGTTTTGATGTTGTGATTTTTCTGTGTTCTCTTGTATTTAATTACTATTTAACAATTCAGTTTTGTATTTCAGCTTTAGTTCTGCAATGTACTGTTTTATGTAAAAAATCTATTGGAATAAAAGATACCGTGATAAATAAAATAATTTAGGAGTATTACTATTAAAAACAAATAATGAGAAGAATATATTCATTTAAAGATGGACTGTTCCATTAAACTATGGCTCCATAATCCACTGAAAATATTCTTCCTGTTGCATTTATCTTTGTATAACATTATGTACGGTCAGTCCTCACCTCTTTGATTTGCGTTATCATCCCCAACACTATTATCTCTCCTAATTTTGAAGAGCTTCCAAGTAAATACTCCACAGGTTTTAACTGAAATATTTTAACAGAAATAGTTTACACAAAGTACATGAAAAAGAATGCATCACAAACATCTACTATGTATTAATAATATGAATCTAACAAATATTTGCATGGTCAATAGAATATTTCAGGGCGGATCGAGGAATATGAAATAGAGGTGACCAAGAAAGTCAATTTTACAGACGGCAGTGCCAGACCACCTCAGCTCCACCATGGTTGGGGCTGAGGTACAATATTTTTTCAAGATGGCCAGAAAGAGCACTCTGAAACTAAAGATTTGAACGTAGTTTTATTTTTCCTTTTTGTTTAAATTTTGAAAAAATTGTGGCAGTAAGGGCCGCTGGCCTTCCAAACCCACCCACCACCTTGAATCCGCCTATGTATTTTGCCGAAGCATGTAGTGCTTCTTGTTGACACACTGAAGGGCTATGAATCCAGTCTAACATGTGCTCAGTGTGTTCTGCTGAGGTTAAGACATCAAAATTTCAACATGAGATGCAGTTGAAATAAAATTAAATAAAAACAATACATAACATTCCCAAGACATTTAAAACATCAAAAATTATAATAACTTTTCATAATACAAACTTAATTTTCTATAACATCAACTGCATATTTCCATACTGAAACTAAAGTAATTAATTACATTATGTTACAAATGTAAATAAGTAAATATAAATTTTCTTTACTTGGAACTTGTGTGATTTTTCTTCTGGTAAAGAGCCTAGAACTGGGGGTGTGAATAGATTGTGTCTGCTTGTCCTCTGGTGAAGGATTGTATATCGTTCTGAAAACAGATTCGCTTTATCTTTAGCGGAACCATGAAGACTAGGTACATATTTGTTCCTGTTTACAAAGATAAACAACAGAGTAATCAAAATATAATAAAGTGGTGATCGTAGAGTTTCTGCCCCTATTTAATAAAACTATGGTATACCTTACATTATAATATTATTTTGTTTACGCTACAATGTCGGGGCCCTCGTGCATGGAGGCCCCGGTTCTCCACCCCTTCTCCCCACCCACATAGATTTTATTCCAGGCCTGTGGTACTTTGATATATAATTATTGTTACAGTCGATCATGGAGTGACAGTAAGATTAGGTAGTAAAAGGGGTAGGAAGGCTTAAAAGTTGGTAGCATTGATCATCAAAAATGTAATTAAAAGAACCCTAAAAAAAATGAACGGATCAATAAATACACATGAGGCTGACTAACAGACTGTTGATTACTAAAATCCTTGAACAGGCAAATCAACGATCTATGGAAACAGAATAAGGAACGGTATTATTTATGGGTGCCCTATGATGCATTGAATATTTACACACATTATATTTTATTCACTTACAACAAGAGTTTTTTACGTTCACTGTTATATGAAAACATTGGGATACTGAAAGCGTCAATGACAGATAAAACCTTGTCGGACTCTTCCTCCGTATCTTCATTGCACTCTTCAATGGCTGCTTCCACTTCAGACCGACCAATCATAGCTGTGTTTACTTTAAGAATATGAAATACATGATCAGATATTTAGACCAGTAAGATATGTTGTGGAAACAAATAAATATCTTTTCAGTATTGTACTTTGGGCAGTAGTATCTCCAGAAATTTGCCAACAGTGGGGTCCAAACCAAGGGGCTAACTAAAGCCTCAGTCAGGGTCCCTGAATAAAAATGCTTGGTAGAGTTCATGGGGAGATTTTATGGCTTAGTATGGCCCAAAATTGTACAGCTAGATCATAATATTAGGGATTGGCCATCAAATAAGGTTATTTGGATAGGCATTTTTGGTCCAACAACCTCGTCATGGCCTTGGATGACGGAGGTCCAGGCCTGTCCGGGGGTGGGATGCCACCAGTGACTTTTGTTTATTTGTGCTACAGCATATATTCAAGAATGTGAGTAGAAAAAATGATCTCAATGAAAAGATTATGAATATTATTGGAAAAAATGTCAACAATAATTATGCTTTTAAAATTTAGCATCCATTAATTTTAAAGATCAATTCACAATCATTACTAGACTAAATGTTTTAAGGTGATGGAGAATTGTGATTTGTTGAATTCAATCAATAATGTTCATGAAATGAAGTATGTTTTTTATTGTGCAACAGTAATGTATTGAATGGATTTAAATCTTACATTGTTGTTTTTGAATACAATCTATGATTTTATCCAGCCATTCACTTCGCTCATCTTCATTCAAGGGAGTGAGCACATCAGCCAGCAGCTTGCTTGCATCACTAAAAAAAAATGAAAAATACATATAATTTAAATATTTGTAACAAGCATTTATAAGAAATTAACTTCTTTTACGCCATTGACATTGTTCCAATGATTTTACATTTGTCTGTTGATTGGTGAAGCTTGCTTGAGCCTAAACTTAATTAAAAATATATCTTGCTTTCTTAATGTCCTACTGTAAAGTACTTTAATTGTACAGGGGATATACACAAAAATCTACCTCAAATTTGCACAGAAAATTACTAGGAAATTAGGGGTGCAGAATTGTTACTGCATAATACATTGGTTATACAGTATATAATTGAGAGATAGGCCAGGGCCTAGCTTTCAGTAAAATGTGCGCAGAAATCTTTCCAAAATGCATTAATGGAATTCTAGGCATAATTTTTGTGAAGAGGATATTCCCCACAAAGGCCTTATTTTACAGTCAAGGGCGGATTGCTATAAGTAGTCTTTAGACGGTCTTAACCGTTAGTCAGCTATAATCGTGACGTCACTACTGGTCTATGATTATGCTATACCATGGTCTAACCAGTTAGCCGTCTTAAATTTTAAAGCCGACTTGGAGGAGGCTTAAAACGGTCTTAAATCATTTTCATCATGGCATTCTGCTGATTAATCTAACAGTGCAATGGCAAGACCTAGATCATCAAAGTCAGAGAATCGAACGATGAATACTCAGCATCTGTAAAAATAGGTCTACGGCGTTTATTTACGTTCATTTCGATACATTTGCGTGCATCGAGCACGCATGACGTCGCCCTCAATCTTACATTACAAGGAAGTGCTTGTTTGCATTTCAATACTTAAAGCGGTCTTAGGGAAGACTGTTTTATAGCAATGGTCTTAGAGGAATGACTTTAGTGAGACCGTCTAAGTGATAAAGCTAGCTTTATTCGAGGAGGTAAGACTACCAGTTAACACCGTTTTATAGCAATCCGCCCCTGGTCTTATTGAACTACGGCATTACAGAAGGATTTCAGAAGTTTTCCATTTTTTTTTTCAGTGTAAAAGAATAATCAATATCAATTAACAATAACAGTTAAAGGGGCATTTGGCTACAGTAGTCAGCAAAAAAAGAGAAGAAAAGAAAAGATGGGAGATAAAAGTAAACTTAATTAAAAGCACTGCACGATACCTCTATAAAATTTGTAATTTGTGTGATTTTATTTTATGATCAACTAT